TCACACCTAGTTGAAATAAATCACACTGTGAATGTAACCGAGGCATTCCGTCTCCTGTATCTGGTTCTTGATCGATTATCAATGCAGGTTCGCTGTCATATGCTAACCACAGCGGAAGCGGTTTGAATTCGGCTGCACAACCCCTCTCTGTGTGCCCAAAAACAATTTGTGCAGGTGCTTTAGCTCCCCTGGCCGACCCCTTACACACCCCATATTCCCGGTGGTCCCAACGATCGGATGACCTAACAATTATGTGATCATTGAGAATTCCACAGCCGGTCCCAAGATGAAATTAGTACCACATAACCCATGAGGTTATTTTCCCTTTCCCAAAACATCTGCTTGCGTTTTTATGTTCGAATAGTGATTCATATATAAAGAGTGTAATATTTATTGTGATGTATTTGGCATGACTACGAATCACTGGAACTGAGCTTGTTCGACACTCCTTGTTCTACTCCAAATATTGTAAACATCACTGTCCTGTATTTGACATCCTATCTTAACAGAGAATTTATTATTTTCCTTTGATTCATAGTTTTTCAATTATTCTGTTACTAGGGAAATGTGTTTGTAGTTACTAATAGGCTGTACCAGAAATCCGAAATAATGAAATCTTTGTATTAGCCCTATCTATCCTATTTGTATTACTTCACAGATCTGTGCAGATGTAAAATGTCAATTTGCTCTTTCACTCCATTTCATCGGTAAATGCGATTGAGCATTGGTGATCGATAGCTAAATTTGGAAGTCCTACATCTTTCTTGTCTCGATCGATTAACGAGACAGACATTCGAACTGTTGGTCACTGAGCACGGAAACGGGACGAGATTGTTCTGAGGGAAGCAGAGCGAATGAGTGCATAAATTGAGAACACTTGTGAGGATAACGAAGTTTGAAAAGTAGTTTAATCCCATTTTTAAATTTGTACCCCGAAAAGTTCACATTAAATAAAAGCAATAACGTATGTATATAATGGACTGTGACAGATTGTTGTCAATGATTCTATTTAAAAAAATACTGTATGCAACAATATTGCACACGATAACAAAAAATCGGGCACGGGAAAATTCGTTTAATAATCATTATTCGATTTTTTGATGTGAAATTCTGTTTACTTGGCACATTCCAAATCACTGTTCATCTGTTTCAACTGAAAATCACGAATTTCTTACACCATCAAACATTTGGAATTTGAAGACTCAAATAAAGGGTGCACGTAAAACAGAATATTTCATAATTTGACTCCCGAGAAATTTGGGTAAAATATCGTGACAGGAAATAAAAGACAATGAAAAACACTTCCAATATCCGGCTTGTGTTTCCATTGGCAATTATGAACAAAGTCGTTTGTTCTCAATTTCCCCTTGTTTGAGAGCACTCTAGCNAAGCCGATAGGAACGGTTTCGGGATGTGATGTTAGCTGAGGACTACATCAATGTATCTTCCTTCCGTTATCTTCGGTAAAACAAAACACATACTGGGAAAATTCGTATGCAAATCGATTTTATTACTGACATCCTAATTCGCGGTTGAAACTTGGACGTATGCGAAGCGAGAACTGTCGAAAGCAGTTTACAACCGAGCTAACGTATTATTAGACCATCAATGTTAATTCCTAGGGACAACCATTTTTACGGCTAAAAGGAAGCTGGGCACGAACCTCAATAAAGCATAGTTCTGATAAGAATATCATTAGGAATGATTGGGTTCGCCCAGAGACCATTTCAAAAAGTCAATTATATTATTCATTCACTAATAATGCACAATGCAAGTCATGTCCGTAAATGAATGAAAAATTAACAATTGTAATGATCTTCCACTGTTTATTTGTTACACAGCTAAACTGTCATTTTTGGAAGAAAGCATCAATCAATTCTGGGTCGACGAGGGGGTGCACAATGAATTTGGGACAAAGTCGGCAACAGTAGTAATTTGACGCACACACAACCCCTGAAGTAGGGATGCTGCATCACACCAATTTCCAAAAATGAATCAATGATTGACTGAACCGCGTTCATCATTCCGTCGTGTGCATCGGATTCTATTACAAGAACAATGTTCGAACGAATGCACTTCTAGGATGCCCGGAGTTACGAGGAGGGTAAAACCAAGAGATAAACCAATGCAAATGGTAGAAAGCAGACTAGTCATTAAATAATGTCTGTATCGAATGCAAGCAATCGATAATAGCGAAGTTGGAATGTGACAGCAATAACACGCGACTCATGGATGATTTGTAATTAAATCGAACAGCGGTTCAACTGTTCACGAATGTGTAGTGCTCGCATTGGAAAATGACAATAGAAACATGTGTGGATCATTTTAACTCGGAACCGACTGTTGCAGGAGTCTAGTTTTATGTGCTTTTTGGGTTTTCAGAATGCTCGAACCACGATGTTTGATGAAATCATTCAAATTACAGGTGGAAAAAATCATCGTTAGTCCGAGTTGGGGAGTGCACAATTATGAAGATGTAAACCGCATGCAGATGCGCTTTATCAGCTCAAGTTAAAAGTCAAACCTACCTACTAGGAGAACACAACCATAGGTACTCACCTCAAAAATCTGGCGTGGACGATTGAAATTGATGTGTTTAGAGGTAGCAGAAAATTAAACCTACCACATATTTCGTTTGAATTCATTTAAACAGGTCCATCATTACGCAACTCTATGTATGTTTGCGGCACATTCTGCAATTGATTGCATCATTTAATACTATGAAAAGTAGACCCAAACGTAAATCCTCATTTACATGGTTCGCTTGCCCTAGAAACCAGCAATATTGTTTATTTATCATGGAGACATTCTCTTACATTCTACTTCCAAATATATGATTACGTTTGCGTGCTTTCATCCCTACCTTGTTTTCACTGCGAACAAATTGTTTTTTTCCTGCATCCCCACCTACTTAAAATCGAACTTCTTGATCTCTAATGATAGTAGCAATTAAGTCAATGTAATTTTGTTCACCTCATGTCTTTTAGGCATTTTTCTACGTATGTAATGGGTTTTATCCAGTTGTTGCTTATTTGTGTTTTCTCCCCCGGTTAATTCATTCACCAGTGCAGTCGTTTCACACCTAGCTGAAATAAATCACACTGTGGACGTGTCCGAGGATTTTCAACCCATATATAAAGTTCATGGATCATTATCAAGACCGTTTGGCTGTTGAATGCTGGCTAGGGCATTCGTCTTCACGACCCCCCTCTGTATGCCCCAAAACAACTTGTGGAAGCGCTAAAGCTTCCCTGGCCCACCACACACACACCGCATCATAAGTAATCTCGATGATCGGATGAATGGACAAACAAACATGTGATCATGGTGAACCCGATTTCCGGTCTCACGATGAAATCGTTTGTAATAATCTTTTTATTTTATTTTCCCATGATAATACGACTCTCCGCTGTTTTGTTTGAAAAAATTACTCTGAAGCTGATAAACCCAAATTATGGCTTTTGTAAACATAGTTTACATTCCCAGTTCAGTTCCTTTTTATCCCATTGGGGGTGAGAGGATGAATACAACTTCTTTCGACCTCAAAATAGTGAAAGCTCCCTACACCGAATATACTCCTTTTTGACAAAGAGAAATTCCATGCCATTTTATATATAATTTCCTTCTATTTTGCGCCTGGTAGTGAATTTAAAACATTGGAAGAGTTGTGCTCGGTAATTCAACACGTTCTTATCTCTATTAGGCCAACACACATTAAACTTTTGCAAGTTTCATCAACTAAGGCTGTCGCTAATAGACAACCAAACGGTATTGTTTGTATAAACAGTTGCGCTGAGTAGCCTGGTGGTGACCGCATACAGTACATGCCTGCGTTCAGATCTGAACCACCGACAAACTCAGAATGCAATCAATTGGATACAGGGCCCAGTAAAAGCTGGATAGCGAAAAATACAAATGTCTCTCCCCATCCTCAAACTAAACTTTCCGAAAGCACAAAACAGGGTCATCTGAATTTGTTCAGATGCAGTATATAGAATGCTTCTATTTAAACTTTTCGTGATTCGTCTGAGGTTGGATTTTAAAGACTGCCCGAAACTATGTCTCTGAAAGTATTGGTATCACCTATTGCAGTTCGGCATTATTAGGCTTAGATGCCAAAAATCAAATCAGATATAAGCAAAAATTAGCGAATGGAAACTGCTCGAAGCCAAGTTATTAGTTGCAATTCGATACAAAAGATCTTGGAGCATCCACCCATGGTCTGTGACCTATTCACTCTTGATCTTTAACTTGTTGGTATATCATTAACTGGTTCCTCGCCCAGGTAATTTGGTATTCCCGAATCTCACCGGTACACACTAGTGTTTGCTTGTTGCAAGTATCAAATAATGCAGTCAATGTTTCGTTTTTAGCTTCCAATATGTTTATTTGTGAGTTAATATATTTGCAACTAGTGAGCGAATAAAGCGAGAAATAAGTGACCATTTCCATTGGATTCAGTGCCAAATAGTTCCTTTTTGTGTTTATGTGAGTGGTGAACTTTCTTCCAGAAACGGTGCTCGTTTTGTCCGGTCCGATCAAATCGACTAAACGTTGACGTAAGTCGCGTGACTCTAACCCATCTAGCCTAAATAGACACGTGTTTCGTAAATTGGATTATTTGAATGGCCGGTAAAGTGCAGTAGGAATCAATAAACATCCCGGTATAATTAGTTCGTTCATTCACAGTGTTCTTAACAATTTCAACTGCACATGGACTGGACTAATGATGCCGTCCATCAGATGTTTCTGCCGTCTACAAGAACAAAACCCGTGGTAGCAGAAACAATACCTGCCCCACCGCAGAACTATATGAGTGATCCTTTTATGCAAGCCACAAAGACAAATACATGTTATGCATATATTTTCCTCAGAGAACTATTCGATCGATGTGAACCACGTTCCACGCATGAAGCCCTAGCCGAAGTGGCAGCTGGATTTGCTGCGGTCATGGTACTTCCCACAGCAATTTTGAGCACTATTGGAAATGGAATTCTCATCATTTTTCTTATATTTTTCATTCGTCAACCGAGAAGAATGGAAATTTGGGGCATTGCAATTGCTTTGCAAGATATCGGTTTTCTTCTCTTTTCTGGTGTCGCAGACGCGGGTCTATTATTAGGCGCTCCGTGGTGGGGNGTGGTGGGGTGAGCCACAAATGCCAATGGATTACCGTTCTCAGTTATCCTGCAAACTATGGTGGACAGGCAAATGTTTCCTAACTTCCTTAAGAGTAAACTTGTTATTTTTTCTGGCAATTCAGACATCCCAAGAAATTCGAGTGGATGACAAACGTATTGAATGGGTCTTTCACACCTGTTTGCTTCTCTGTATCGCAGCCATCGTGTCCGTGCTACAGGTTGCCCCAGCGTTTGTCATTTATGGCCTATGGCAACATCATGGAGTATTTGCATGCGCTCCAGATCCCATTATCCCGTACGAATATCATCTTTATTTCAATGTTCACAAAACCATGTTTATCGATGGAATGTTCCAATGCACTTGTTCCGTACTGTTAAGTGTCATAATCTATCGACAATTCAAGCGGGTCCAACGCATTGTTAATCAGTTACGTTCAGTTCATTTATCCCGTGATGTGGTCAGTGTGACCCTGCTTGCGACGATCCTCCGGTTGGACGAAACCTCGCAGAACATGCGTATTCTATTCTCTCTCCTATTTCCTACAATTTGTTCCCGTCTGGCTCGTTTGTGCCTTCCAGATCCCAGTGCAATGGCTAAAGATGCGAACTATACAACCTCGCGTGAAGCTCGCCTACGTCGACTTACTAAACTCAGTCTGTGGCATCTCATAACCTATTTAGATATTCTGATCTCCGGATTTGGATACTGGTGCTGGTATATCAATGTACCTAAATTGATCAGTACCATCAAGACTGGTTATGAGTACTTCATGCGCTGGATACGTCGAAAGCGTCGAAAGCGAAGGGGCCGAAGAGTTGCGAGAAGTTACTTCCGACAAAGCTGTATCTCAATGGGTATACGGATTGATGATCTGCATCGGAACAAGACAATCATCAACCAACTGAATGCATTGCAGCAACATTTGGGAGTTTTCTATGCCGATGAACTTCAAGAGGCGGAACGTTTGTTAAACTCTTTAGACTATGCTTTTGACTAAGGATACAGTTTTGGATGGAGAAGATATACACTGTACCACAACCCCTAAACGACCTAGAGGATCCATAGTTGACCGCGTGTGCTCTACGTGTCCGACATTTGCTTAATCGCGTGGAACTCATAGTTAGCCTCAGGGCACAAAACAGATTGTAGCCTCGTCCCAGAAGACAAATGAACGTTTCCTTTACAAGAAACAAAAACTACACAAAGTTTCATAATACTTTGATATCATGCAAATTTCGTATCCAATTTTTCACCAAGGGGATTTTAAAGAAAAATTGGCTACCAACCACAATCAATGATATGAATTTGCATAATGCTGTGTTTGTCCACCTTTTCTTTGAACCAACCAAATACTGTCGGTTTTTGGTCAAACGGCTTACAGTTGCAGTAAATCAGCCGGAATATTGCGTTTGTCCCTCTCAACCCGGCCCGTTTGTTGTAATCTACATTTCTCACTCCATCAGCCTTCGTTGTGCGCCCTAAATTAGCGGCATACTCCCCCCCGAAATTCTGATCAAACAATTATCCACCTAGATAAAAGTCAACTTTTATGATCGACGTTGTTAAGCAAACTAGCCTATCATTAAAAAGAATTTAAATGTCCCGAAGAAGTTTGTTTGGTAACCTATTCATTTATTCACATGATCGTTCCACATTGTTAGCAATTTCATGATAATAGGAGTTGACAGATGGGATTATTTCATCCGACAATCAAACTTCTCACCACGGGTCAAAAAATGTCTCGGAAATGTCTTATGTAACCATATTTATGCAGAAAACTAATGTTTACTTATCTAAGCCGGTTCTGACTGGGAATCGCACTTTTATCCCGTTCGTTTTATGTGCATAAAGTTGAATTCGAATGCATTCGAGTGCATTTGTCTACGGTCAACTGGCACCCGGAATTTCGTTTCGCATATTAACACGCACATGTGTGACCTTGCCGTATGACAGTTTTTCTTGAATATGCAAATAGTACGGGTTTTCGTAAGTGAAACAAATTCTCCACTATAGCAACTCCGAGGAGAAGTTTCAAGAATGACACGGGAACGAAAATGACAAATTTGAACAAGGTGATTCGAACGGGAAAATATTTGTTGTTTATCATGAGAATTTCTCAATTACATTTCAGTATCTGACCGAGGGTGAAAGTCCGAATGACTGTTTCAATTTGATTTCCTTTTCATCAGCTTTCGTTTGAGTTTGTGCTTTTACGGACCACCGCAGTAAGTGTTACGTCATTAAATTTGATTTGATGTTAGGATCTACCCGGAGAAACTAAGTTTCTGACTGCATCAGTGTTTGTTGTGAATAAACTTGAAAACCAATACACCGTTTTCGATTCATAGATTATAAAAATTATTCAAATACTTGTCCAAATAAAACAAACTATTTTCACATCCATTTATGGATGTTGACAAATAAGGCTTTCCGGTGCTTCGTCCAGTCGTAATGTGCGTAAATCATCCGGGTCAGTATAATCAAAACTCGATGTTGTTGCTCACGTGACTGCCTCCTGCACGAAAGAATGAGGCGGCTCCGTGGATCGGTTGGAAGTGAGATGCACCTGTTTCCGCATTCCAGTTGACAAGTTTCAAGTATCGGTCTTTACAGGAGATGGACTTTAGAGGAGAAGACGAACAACGAACTGATAGAGATTACACGTGTGATGCGCTATTCGATATATCACAATTCATTCTAAACTATGGTCCTTTTGATGCAAATGACAAAGACATATATATATATATATATATATATATATAATGTCACTGGCTTGTGTTAGTCTAACGTTTTTTAGGGGTCACGGGATTTCAACAGACAGTATTCGTGCCACTGACTTCTTCGAAATCATTTTTCAGTTCATAGTCCATACGATCATCACTTTGTCACTTGTCTTCCATGCATTTTTATTCGTCTCCGTCTTTCACCCTCACGTTATGCAACCCCTGATTGAATTTAAAACACAAGATAATTCCAGATAGGAAAACATAAAGAATTGAAAAAGCTACACGGGAAACCCTGAATCCCATTGCGGAAGTCTACTCTCATGCCAACATGCAGTCCCATGCTTCAACTTTGCATATGTTTACCTAGTGCAGGAATAAATCCACGGTCTCAAACAGAACACAGAGAGAATAAAAACATGTTTATGATGACT